ATAGTAGAAATAGAAACGAGTTTTTTAAAAATATGATGGTAAAAGTAAGGTTAAAAAAGGAGGTTTAGGTGAGGTCATGGGGGTTTCCTTAGTAGCTTTATAAGAAGGGACACCAGAGAGCCTCTCCCTTCCTCCCCTCCCCCTCTGCCATGTGAGGACATAGTGAGAAGGAGGTTGTCTACAAGCTGGAAAGAGAGTCCTCCCCAGAACCTGACCATGGCAGCCCCATGCCTCTGAAATGGTCTTACAAGCAAGCTGCCTTTGGGGGCCCTGACAGTGGTAACATCACCTAAATAAATGAAGATGAGAGAGAAGTCCAAGGAGGAGGGGGAGGAGGAAAGAAGAGGTGAGAGGCAGAGTGGTAAAGAGCAGTACTCCTCACTCATTTCCACCAGAACAGCAGAAAAAGCACTGGACTCGTTTTTAAATCCAAGTTCATTTTCTGATTTCAGGTATTCCTAGCCATATGACCTCATAAGATCACTCACCTTCCTTAAGCTACTCTTTCCTCATGAGTAAAGGGAAGATGACATCTTTTCTACCACTCTTAGAGGGCTGTCAGTCACCAAGGAGTTAATGTGGGAGAAAGGATTTAGGGACTAGGAAACTCTGACTCCTTGGCCCTGTAAGGTGGTATCAATATTATTCCAATACCATTTTGGAAGTTTCCCCAGCCCAGGTTAATTGATTCTAGGACTAACCTTTACACTTCATCCTGATACCTTTTCGTCCAGTCCTTGCACCTGTGCAAGGAAGAGGCGTACAGGAGGCAGAAAGAATGAGGAGGGGCTATTTATAATCTGCTGTCATTAGGGGAGGGAGAGAAGTCATCTTATTCTCATGTGACTCTATGTCTCCTAGTTCACCTCATTTCTACATCTTTCATCTTTAGTATGAAATCTCAAACTTCCCTATTCAAAGGAATGTCAAGCCTGTACCTTTTGTACTTGCCTCATGAACAAATCACCTAAGATACAGGGTAGAGCAGGAAAGACAAGTTGGTTTTATCTTCAGCACCAGCTCTGATTCATTGCTCGCTTGGAACACTGTAGTAGGAAGTAAAAACTACTCAGTGGGAAAGATTGTAAAGATTGTAGAGATCAATTTGAGATGTCTGCCATTGGCACAGGGAATGAGAACTGGCTACCCCTGGTTCAGAGGCTCAAGATGAGTCAACTCTAAAAATGCAGCAAATATTGAAACCGGGAAGGTTTTCAGAAAAATCTCAAATGTGGGAGATTTCATCCTGGGGTCTTACACCCCTGGGACATTTAAAAAGTCAGAATCAATGGCTATGTCTGTTTTTAATAATACGAAGGGCCAACTCCTTACTGGTGATACGGTTGATAAGGTTAACTAAATGTCAAGTTTCTTTCCTTTTGGATAGAAGAGTATCAAGTCCATTCACTAACCCTGCATGTATCATGTTAGTCACTATGACTTACATTTGTTGAAATCAGAGAAATTTTTGGAATGTTACTGGTCAACCTGACAGTCCAGCATTGAACCCATGAGCGATCATGAACATGAATACAGAGTGAAGACCTAAGGTAAGTGACTGATTGCAGAGAACACTTGATGATTACAAGGTTGGAAATCAGTGTTCTAATGAACTCTGGTGTCAATCTTAATGCAAGTGCTTTAAATCCTACCCCATATTTCTGAGAATCTAGGGATTTCGGGTTTGGATGAACGCTCTACCAGTTTATTTCTATTTTAGCATGTGTTACTTGAGACTTTAAAAAAAATAACAAACAGCTTCCATTAAATAATTAAATGTCTTTTTGTTGTGGAATTCTAAAAGGTTTAGCACTGTGTACATGTACTGAATTTAAGCTTTTAGGAATTCATTTTACCACTTTAGTGCTTTCAGTTTGCTTGAAAGTAGGCCCTCCTGGGTGAAAGGTCCGATTGGTGTTTAAAAGCTGTCAGTTTGCCTTCATCTGCTCTTTAGGCCACTAGACTTCCTGGCTATGTAGAGTGTGTTTGTTTAGTTTTAGTCATGTCCTATTGTGCTACAAGAAGCCACACAACAACAAGAGGCGTACTGATAAAATAATTTGGGAATTTCTTATTCTATGTATTATTTTTTCCTGAGTATCTTTGGGGGCTACTTTTATTTCTATGTTTTGAGCTTCCCTTGCAAATGAATTCTTGCATTTTAAGTAATAGCCATTGAAGACAGGGCTATGAGATAGGTAACATTTTAAAAAGAACCCCTTGGAGAGTGACATGGAGGGCTGGGGAGGCCTATCCTGGGGGATGAGCATGAAGGAGATTATAGGCCATTGGGTCTCTCCAAGAGCAAGGGGGAGGAGGTTCTAGTAGTAAGGAGCCTCTCTATTGGTACTTCCTGTTCCCCACTTTCTTTTCCTCATTCGCTTAAATTTTTCCTTCCTCTCTTTGTACCCCTTTCTCCTTTGCCTTCCCTTTGTGTTTCTTTCCTTCCCCTTATTTCTAATTTCCCTTCCATTCTCCTGCTTTTTCTGGTCCCCTTCTTTCTCTCCTCCCCATCCCTTCTTTTCTGTGTTATCTCCCATTCTCTTCCCTTTTGTGAAAACCACTTTCCATTTATGGCATCAAACTGTGTTTCCTAAAGTGTGTTCCTCCAAGTGCTAGATCTCTGAGATGCATTGAGGAAAATTTTTAAAATGGTGGGGAGGAGCTGGATCTGTGGTTTAGTGAGCTGAGAAAATATTGCATAGCCACATCCCCCTGGTCCTCCATTAGCATTTGACAGGTTCTGAGAAATCCTGCTGTGAAGAGACTGGTCAACTTGGCTTATCCCACTCTTCCCCAAACCTCCCTGACCTCAGGGCCTTCTTCCTCCAAATAAATGAATCTCACTGAGAATATGTTTTGAAAGACCCCCTAGTAGAGGCTCTTGTCCTGGCTCACCGTGGAGCTGCAGAGCACTGACTGCATCCAGCTAAACCTAGTGTCAAGATGTCTTCTCACTTGTCTGAGCTTTTCTCAAGGCTATCACAGCCCACAGCTCCTTTTCTATTCATCCCCATCACTACCCAATGTTGCAGCTACCTACCACTCAGACTGGCAAAAGTTCCACATGGCTCTCCTCTTGTGTTAAATGCTTATGGTTGGGTGCCCTTTTTTTCTTTTTCCTAACAAATTGTCAAAGAATATTTTTTAAGAAGAATATGCAGCATGGCAGAGATACAAGCAGGGGACTGTGTTTGATTTCCTGCTGGTGGCAATATAAGTTGGTATAATCATTTGGGGGGTAATTTGACAATATGTAGCCCAAGTCTTAAAATTCTAAATTTGGGACTTATGAAAATAATTTAGGATGTAAGCAAAGATTTAGCTACAAGGATTTTTTTTACTGGAGTGTTGTTTATAATTGTAAAAACTTGGAAACAACCTGAATGTCCAACTGTGGGAGACTTTTGAGCAGACTGTGGCACATTCATATGATGGGGCAGCCCCTATACATAGAGTTTTAGGAGAATATAAAATAGGTGCCCAAAATTAATTCTGTGCAAAAAATATACATATGTACAGTGTGAACCATGTTTGCAAAATGAACATTCACTGAATGTGATATATACATATAAATATGTAAAAGCTAGAAAGACTATTCACCAAAAATTGGCAATAATTATCTCTTGCTGGGTAGTGGAATTTCAGTGGTTCCTTATTGATCTGTGCCTTCTGGTTTTTATATAAAGAGCATGTGCTTTTTGTATATTAAAGGGGAACAAGTTAGAAAAACTAACAAAAATGGTTGGTGACCCTAGACAAGCTTTGTAACCAGTGGAACCCCCAGATTACTCCAAATAGGGTCCTATCAACACCAACTGGGACTTTTCTGCCTCCTGGGGGGTAAGTGCTTCATGAGGAAGGTCAAAGAGAATGTCAACCTTCTTTCTGCTATCTGAGGGCATCTGGATACAAGAACTGACTTCTATGTTGTGATGCTGCAATTTACTGGGGGGGCGGGGGGGAGATCAACACACCCCACCATCTATTTATTTAATATTAAAAATAATATTTCACTGAGTTTGGCTGGCGTCAGCTCGAGCAGTTACTCATACAGGAATTCAAACAAAAGCAGCATTGGCGCCAGGCCAGTGGGCTGGTGCTGGGTGGTCCATGTCCATCCTTAGCCCAGAGGAGCTCCTAGGCTGCTTTCAGACCTGCTTCGGGTTGGGAAGATGATGTATTCATTTATTTATTAGAAATGTTTTAACAGGAAATGCTAATAGTTTGCATTTAGGGAAAATTGCCTTGGCGACAGCTGGAGGAACCCAGCAGACGTGGCTGGGGAGGAGATTGTTGCTCTTGGCCTTAGAGCCGGATTGGGGCCTGGTTAGGAGTCTACAACGCAGCCCAGCACACAAAGTTCGCTGAAAAGATCCCAGTTGCTTTGCACCAGGACCAGGGCCATTCTTTCAGCTGCCTTATTTCCCTTCTCTGTTGCCATTTGTTTCTTAGAAACCTAAAGATGTATTTTCGATGTGACTATGAACACAGTTGGCTCTGCTAGGAATGAACAGGCCCTGTGTACACAAACCTCCAGGCGGGAGGGAGCATGGGAGCCAAGGTGTAAGCAAGCACATGTGTAACTCGAACCCACTTTTAGTGTGACTGTGGGCTGGTGGAATCATGTATGAGTTCAGGGGTTATATGTGCACATCCGTTCTGTGTATGAGGATGAATGAAAGACAAGTGTTTGCAGGGGATTTCAGGTGTGTCCTCAAGCTCCAGGGTACATTCCAGTGTTCGATCACATTCATGAGTAATTGTGCGGAGCCCAGAGAGAAAATGAAATCCAGAGGGGAGTAGGAGCCAAGCTCAAATGTATGTATATGAGAGGAACGTGAGCAGGTTTGTATAGTTTTAAAAGAAACTCTTCTAGCTGTTTGGAAGAGTGTAGAACTTCACTCACAGGGGGAAAGGTGTGGCCACAGTCTGTGGGGAGTGGGGTCCAGTGTCTAACCCAGTCTGGCACGACAAAAGGGCTGTTCCTGTGTTTCCAGATAACAATGGAGGTGAAGCCTGACCCTGGAAACCAGTCAAGATTCCCAGAGATAAACCCTGGGCAGCAAGAACACTGTCAATGAAAAGAAACTGACCTTTCGCCTTCTGGAGTCACAGAATTCCCACAAAAGCCGTGTCCTCATCAGCTCTGGCAGGCCTCGCCACCCGGCCCCAGATTTCGACGCCAATTCATAAACAGCACACAGGGAGCTGCTGGAGTCGCTGAGGAGGGGGCTGTGCTAGAAGTCAGCACATCTCCACCCCCGGGACCTCGAAAGACAGGATCCCCCTGCTCTCCATTTTCCTCCAGGCTCACAGAATTATGAGAGAGCCCCTTAGAGTATTTTACTCTGACAGTGTGGTCTGGGCTGCTGCTGCTGAGCCTTCCACCTGAGAGAAATATGCTGCTCAAAATCCGAACTGAGCCTTGGGAAGGCTTGCACAGCCTTGGAACAGAGGCAGAAAGTCTCAGGACGGGCGGTAGAAGTCTTGGGGTGCGATGAGGAAGAGCAGGGTGAGGAAGCCAAGGCAGAGGAGTTTGTGTCTGTGACAGTGAGAGGTAAGTAGGAGGCTGAAACTCATTTTTTGTTGTTAATCCTCACCTGAGGATATTTTTTCCATTGATTTTTTTTTTTTTTTTAGAGTGGAAGGGAGAAAGAGGGGAGGGGGGAGAAAGAGAGGAACACATCGATGTGAGAGAGACACATCGATCGGTTGCCTCCCGCACGCACCCCAGCAGGGACCTGGGAACAAACCCACAACCCAGGTACATACCCTTGACCAGGAACCCGTGACCCTTTGGTCTGCAGGCCAGCGTTGTAACCATTGAGCCACAGAGGCCAGGGCTAAATTTCTTGTTTAAGGTCATAAAATTAATCTTGTTGAGCCCCGGGTTCCTCAGCAAAATGAGAATGTTAGAGTTTCTTGTTTTTAAATTCAATAAACCAGGATTTTATTCCTTAACAACTGCTTTCCCACACAATCTTCAAAACCATCAAGCATCATATTAGCCACTAAAATAATGGTTTTCAACCTTGATTGCACATGGAACTGCTTGGGAAGCTGTCTACAGGGTTAATGCTGGAATCTCACCTCCAGAGATTCTGGTAGAATTGGTCTGGGTGAGGCCCAGACACCAGGATTTCTCTCTCCTTCCCTGAGTCCTCCCTGCCACCCCCCTATGAAGAGAATATTGTCTTTGATAGCTTTGGGACACCTCCCCTCCAAGGAGAGTTCTGCCTTTTTCAGGGTGGTTCCTAGGTTTTGTGATCCAAAACCAGGAGAGTGGATAAACAGAGACAAGACTGAAGAGGCGGAAGGGAAGGAGGAGGGAAACTAAAGATCAGGGCCTCGAGGGCTAGGGCTGAGGTTGTTGAGAGTTTCAGAAGAGAAAAAATGGAAAGTGAGGGGTGAAGAGAATAAGAAGCTCCAAGACTGATGAGATATAAGAATTACTAAGCCCGGCCAGCGTGCCTCAGCGGTTGAGCATCGACCTAGGATCCAGTAGACCGCAGTTCGATTCCTGGTCAGGGCACATGCCTGGGTTGAAGACTCTGTCCCCAATCAGGGGCGTGCAGGAGGCAGCCGATCAATGACACTCTCATCATTGATGTTTCAACTCTCTCTCTCTCCCTCTCTCTGAAATCAATAAATATATATATTTTTTTAAAAATACTGAGGAGAGGAAAGGGAAGCTTGAGAATTGTTCCTAAAGCTTATGAACTGCATGCTTTTTAATGTTCTTGAAAAATGGCAAGCAAAATTTCGAATTAGTTTTGAAATAGTTTGGATTGCTAGGCTTTTTTTTCTGTTCATTATTGCTTTGAGACTGGGCCATGTGGAGCTTATATTTGGGTCATACATGACACCTCCTTTGTCCTCATTTGTCACATCTAAACAGTTGTCTATGATTTCTTCCCCTTCCAGCCTTATCGCTCTCCACTGCCCAGCAGCATCATACACGCCCGCTAGATTTCCTCATATCTTAAACTTTGTTCTTCGGTCTTTGGCTCATTGTGTCTCCTACACTGAGAATCACTGCCCGTTTCCATTGTTCTAAGTTCTTTCTAAGCTTCAAAACCCAGCTCATATTGTATGCTCTTCAGGAGACCTTCCCTGCTGACGCTCTCTACACGTTCCACATTCCTTCCTGTCCTTACACATACAATTCCCCAAAACATCAATGATGATGATAATGATACTGATAACTAACATTATGCTAAGCTCATTATGTCCAACACTTTCTGGTGCTTCACACATATTATTTTATTTAATTCTTACAACATTATGAGGTAGTATTGAGGAAAACTAACACAATAAAGAGTAAGTGACTTCTCCAAGGTTACACAGCGGTAGTTGTCACAGATAGGATTTGAATCCAGGCCCTGGAGTCTGCATTATTTCGATAGTGCACATACACTTTAATACTTAGATGTGTGCCTGAAATATCCTTGCCATTCCCCTCTGTCCACAGGCAGTGTTCATGTTATGACTTCGCATTTTGCACCTCCCCTCTCCAACACTGGAATAAATGCTTGTCCTTCACTGTCGTCAGATTTACATAGTCACTTAACAGTTCCCACTGGTATCCACACAGAAGGCGTCAGCATGCGCATGATCAGGATTTTGACTTACAGAGATCCACTTTAGGTTGAAGTCTTCAAGAACACTTAATCTAAGAGCAGGGAGCATATGTTTATAAATCTTACCTTTTGAGTTTCATCTTCTTCCTCATAATGTCTTTGACATGTCAGTGGTAAAGCAAAGCACAGGATGGCCATACTTGAGTGAGGTGAAGATTTAATGCTGCTGCTCTAGTTCAAGTGGCTGTACCTAGAACTACAGTTGTGTTTTGCCAGTCACTGTGAAGTACACACACAGTGATTTAATGCAGCTTGGTTTATATTCAGATGCAGCTCTCCTCTAACATCTTGGAGTAAGCAATGGGGTTGGTATTAAGACTAAAGGCAATTCACTTGGTCAGGAAGAATTTTTAGGTGAAGAAAACTAGAGTTTTAGTTGAGAAATATTTAAATCAATTATTTTTAATTCTATAAAATATATAAAGTTCTTTTAGGATAGAAACATGCTTTAAATTTTAAATGTAGACTTGCACTTCTGACCAAGATAGAGGATTGGTCTCTCCCCCCAGATGAAACAACCCCCAGAATTGACAAAATATCTGAAACAACAGTTTGAAAGGCACTGGGTATTAGGCAAAGAAGGACAGTGATCCCTGAGAGGTAAGTAGTATAATTGTCCCAGATTCCTATTTTGAGATAGTTTCTAGGCCATAGTACAGAGAGGGGACACCCAGGCAGATCTGGGCAAATTCAGTCATTTAAGAATGCAAGGCTGATACAAGATCAATATGCAAAAATTATTGTAATGGTATTTCTATATACTGACAATGGACAATCAGAAAGCAAAATTAAATAAACAATACAGCCTGACTGGCATGGCTCCGTGGTTGAGCATTGACCTATGATCCAGGAGATTGCGGTTTGATTCCAGATCAGGGCACATGCCCAAGTTGTGGGCTCGATCCCCGGTGGGAGGTGTGCAGGAGGCAGCCGATCAGTGACTTTCTCATCACTGACGTTTCTCTCTCTCTCTCCCTGTCCCTTCCTCTCTCTAAAATCAGTAAATACATATTAAAAAAAAACAACAACAATACAATTTACAAGAGCATCAAAAGATTTAAAATGGGTAGGTATAAACCTAACAAAAAATATGAAAGAACTGTACACTGCAAACTACAAAGCAATGTTGAAAAACATTAAAGATGTAAATAAATGGAGAGATATGCCATGTTAATGACTTGGAAGACACAATATTGCTAAAATGTTAATTCTCCCAAAATTGATATTTAGATTAAATGCAATCCCAATAAAAATCCTAGCAGGCTTTTTACTGAATTTGAAAAGTTGTGTCTAAAATTTATATGGAAATGCAAAAGACCTGGCACTGTCACAACAATTTTGAAAAAGAAAAACAAAGTGGGAGGACTAACACTATTTGATTATAAAGCTGCAGTAATTAAGACAATGTGTCAGAGTAAAGACAGACCATTAGATCAATGGGACAGAATAGAATCCAGAAATCCATTATGGACAACTGATTTTCAGCTAAGGTGGAAGACAATCAGTAGATCGTGTTTTCAACAAATGACAATGAAAAAGTCGGATTTTTATATACAAAAAAATGGACCATAGACTTAAATGTAAGACCTGAAACTATAAAATTCATCAAAGAAAACATAGGAGAGAATAGCTGTGATTCTGGATTAGGTAAAGATTTCTCAGACACAACTCCAAAAACACATTCCATAAAAAACCAAATTGATAAATTGGACTTCATCAAAATTAAAACTTCTGCTCTTTGAAAGACTCATGAAAAGACAGTGAAAGAGAATGAAAAGCCACAGATGATTGAAAGGAAATATTTTTAAATCATATATGTGATAAAAAGTCTTTCATCCAGAATAAAGAACTCTCAAAACTTAATAAGGAAAAAACTCAATAAGCAATTAACCTACACAAATAAGAAAATGGCAAGAGATTTGAATAGACACTTTATCAAAGAGGACATATAGATGGCAAATAAGCACATGAAAAGATGCTCAAGTTCATTAGACATTAAAGAAATGCAAATTAAAACCATAATGAAATACCACCATGTACCTATTATTGGCTAAAATTAAAATACAGGCCGTGCCAAGCGTCGGTGAAGTGTGGAGGAACTAGAATTATCATCTACTGTTGGTGAAATGTAAAATGGTCCAACCAATTTGGAAAATAATTTGGCAGTTTCTTTAAAAATTAAACATATAATTCTCACATGATCCAGCAATTCCACTCCTTGGTATTTACCCCACAGAAATAAAGGTATATGTCCATACAGAAACTTGTACATGAATGGTCATAACAGCCTTATTTGTAATAGCCAAAGTGTGGTCCCTGAACCAGCACTATCAATACCACTTGGGAACTTGTTAGAAATACAAATTCTCATACCTAATGGATGAAGTGGTTTATGGGTTCACCAGTTTCCCTTTGGACTGGGAATTGTCCCAGCAATCTGAGATTAACAAACCCTTCAGGTAATTCTGATGCAAGCCGAAGTGTGAGAACCACAACTCCCAACTCTACCCCATCACTTACCTCAGATGATGCTGGTACCTGAACCACATTTTGAGAACAACTACTTCAGAACAATGCTTCTCAAGCTTCAATCTATACATGAATCACCTGGGATCTTGTGTAAATACAGATTCTGATTCATAGGCTCTGGAGGGTGAAGTCTTCAGAGTCTGTATTTCTAATCATCGCCCAGATGATACTGATTCTGCTGGTCCTGGAAATTACGATGAAAACCATCCTTGAAATGCCCTAATTTCTTGAAAGCAGAGCATGTTTGGCTACCTCTGTTCTTCTGCCAGAGAATCCACCAAGCATTAGGATAGAATCTAGCCTTCATTTCCTTCTCCAGTATCTACACAGTTTTGGAAGATAACTAAAGCCCTTCCCTCTCCAGCAAAAAGGGACTGTTCTTGAATGT